CATATCACAAGATGAGCAACAAGCAATTGCAATTAATTACAATTAAAGGCACAGCCGGATTAACATAGGGGCTGATGGAGCTGCAGCTCCAGGCCCAGGCCCAGGCCCATGGAATAGGCCCATTTACACACTACTCTTAGGTTTGCCACCTGACTGGTATTTTACTGGCACAGCCGGTATTTGAGGCTGCCTGGCCGTGCCGGTATTGCAGTAATACCGGCAGTAAAAATCCAGGTAATTTTCTCAGTATAAACGGATATTACTTTGCAATAACAGCACCGGCCAGTAGGGGTCACTGTGTGTGGAGGAAGGCAGGGATAGGAAGTTACAGCATATCCCTGCCTCTCTCTACTACTCACTGATCCGTGGGGGAGCAGCTACACAGCACAGAGTCCAGACTGCAGCTCTACAGCTCAGGTAAGTGAGAGATAGGGTGAAAGACTGCAGGGGATGGGTACACTGAGACACTAGGGGACACATGGGGACACAGACACTAGGGGACACTGGGAGACCTGGGGATGCTGAGACACATGGGGACGCTGTGAGACATAGGGACATTGGGAGAAACTGAGACATTGGGACACGCATAACTAATTAATTATACAAATGATTAAGGCTGGTATTTTTTTTCCAAGAAAGGTGGCAACCCTAACTACTCTTCACATACTCTTGCTTAAAGGAACACTATAGGGTCAGGTCAGGAACACAATCATGTATTTCTGACCCTATAATGTAAAAACCACCATCTAGCTCCCGAGGCCCCTTCTTACCTCCCTGAATATAGTAAAATCTTACTTGTATTCTGTAGTCTGCAGCTGCTGGCTCTGCCTCTGAACTGACTGTCTGCTGACACCATCAGAAGTGGTGATCTGAGCAAATTGCAATGCTTCCCCGTAGGATTGGGGTTATAGAAAATACAGAAAATACAGTGTTTACACGAGAAAGGCTGCAGGGAGCTATAGTTCTCACCTGAACAACCTCATTAAGCTGAAGTTGTTCAGGTGACTATAGTGTCCATTTAAGGTGCCGTTACGAAAAGGTGATATTTCTTCCTTTATCAAACCTAACACGTGACAGCTTCGTGAGAATAAAAAGACACTTAACAGCACCACCCTCAAAACAATGATTGATGTGTAATTAGTAAAGTGGTAGGAAATGATGTGAAAGGACTCATGAAGCAAGTCAGGCGATAAGAAGTGTAAAAAGAAAAGCATTTTAGCACTTTATATTGAATTAATTTTTTTGCAACTTGTGCCTTTTTGCACTTTTAAAAGCCGAAGTGGTCATGGCGGTTGGAGTAGCCCATTAAGTGACTATTCTCACAAAAATGCTGTGTGTTAGGTGTGATAAAGGTCTCGTGTGTCCCAAACGTCACGTTTCATTTTAGCACCTTAATATGAGGATCGCTGAACTTGAAGGTTTGGTGGAACCAAGGTCTGTGCATTGTTGTTTTGACAGCTTCCTCATTAGAATTCTCATTCAATATTTCAATAGCTAGGTATTTCTGTTGACCTGTGAGTGCAGAGACATGTGAGATGTCTTTTTGACTCACCAATATATAGAATGATCACAAAGTGTTTTACTTCCACAAACCAATTTAGAAATGCACTAGTTAACAATTTCAAAACCAATTTGAAAAGGAAGTAAGAACAGATGTGCAAGATGTCATACCCTCTTCCTTTTTGCGTAAGGAGGTTCAGCAAGTCTCCCCCATCCCCCACCTAGCACAAAAGCGGAGTGTGTACCCAAATCCCATACATGAGAAGGCGCCGTGAGCTTCCCACTCCCCCTTCTGTAAATTAAGAAGCTAAAACTACATCCCCTTTAATAACAGCAAAATATACATGCTTTTTTGTAAGCTATTTTAATATACTTTTCCATTTGAATGTACAGGTTTCCTTTAGAGTGCACAATGTCAGACAGAGAATGCAGGGTAATAAATATATTCTTCTAGCCAAAGTCCCCCCTTTAATTTATCACAATGCCCTTGTGCTACCCAATAGAGATGCTGCACTTCAGAATATTTCTGTTGTTAGGGTTTACATTATTTATGTTGCTAGAGGCTATATTTATATATATATACATGCTGTGTCTGTTGTTGTCTCAGTTAAAAGGAGGAGATTCCATGGCAAGACAAATATCTCCATGGGGTGTACCATCGGCATATAGTGGATGTGGCTCACATGAAATAATCCAACCTAATAAAGAGATGTTTCTGGCGTCCAGATGTGAGATACCACAAAAGGGAGCCGAGAATGAAAGGACTAAGATCCTTTGGGACTTTCAGTTCCAGACAGGAAAGCAAGTGGTGGCCAACCAACCTGACATTGTGGTGGTAGACAAAACATAAAACTGCAATGTTGATGGATGTGTCAATATCCAGTGACTATAATATCAAGAAGAATGAACATGAGAAGGTGGACAATAACCAAGGACTGAAAGAGGAGGATGTGGTAAGGGAAGGCAGTAGTAGTCCTAGTTGTGATGGGCTGTGACCGCCAGGTTGGGGGAGTGAGATCGCTCTCCAGAAGAGTACAGTTCTAGGAACAGCTAGGATAATGCACAGAACCCGAGAATGAGGAATGCACCAATAAATAATTTTTATATATAACTGGATTTGTAGTATTCTTCAAACTTTTATTTATTAAACCGTTACTTTACAACAATGTTTCAGTCCAAACAGAGGATTTTGGTCAGGATAACCGTACATAGATTAAACACCAATATATACCAAAATTTAAACACACCACATGACCCAACCAATTATCGGTGAGTATATCAAACCACCCCAAACATGATCATCGATCCCAGACTCGCATAAAAATCACAAAAGGTTGTGAACAAATGATAACTCATACACACAGTGAACTATAATATCATTAAAATAATAAAAAGTAGTAAAAAGAAATAAAATAAAGTGAAGCAGGGGGCAGGGCCTGGCATGCAAGATGGACTAGCCCAAGATGGGCTTTTGTGTTGATCTGACCGGCTTGAGCAAATAAGTCTGATATCTATTGATTTTTCCACTCACTCAGCTCTGAGCTATAAGCACATAACTCTTTTCACCCGATTCAAGGTGTTCTGAGGGAATACTTACAATCCTCAGATCTGAGGCTTAATGACACTTAGCACACAGCTGGTTGGGAGAGGCAGCCAATCACCTGCTCTTGTGTGCCCACCTCAGCTGATAATCCGCAGCCCTATTACCCCCCCCCCAGACCGGTGGGGGATATCGTGGTCCCCATTGGGACGAACTGCCTCCCCGACCAAAGTTTGTATTCCCGGCGCTCCAAGACTGTGGGGAGTCTAAGATGGCATCCATGTCAGACCTTCAGCAAAGCTGAGAGGGCCTCGATAGCCGGCAGTGAAGGGGCAGCTTCAATGCTAGATTTACGGGGTACTCTCTTCTCCAGCTCTGCTTCACTCCCACCTAATTGTATTGCTATCTCCTGTCCTATTGTGTTTTTTACCCCACCTCCTAGAGACTGTAAGCTTGTTTGAGCAGGGTCCTCTTCAACCAATCGTTTCTGTAAGTGTTTTGTAACTGTTTTATTTATTGTTAAATCCTCCCTCTCATAATATTGTAATGCGCTATGGAATCTGATGCCACTATAAATGCCAATAATAATAATAATAATAAACCAGAAATGCACAAATACGAGAATCAAAGCCGAGTCACGGGAACCAGAAAACAGTAGTCAAGAGCAAGGCAGGTCAATACCAAAATATACAAAACTGACAAAGAACGCGCTATTGGGACACTGGGCAGACTGAGATTTTTTACATATCTGGGGGCGTGGTTAGCATAAGTGTGCTGAGTTCTATTGTTTAGAGCTCCTCTGACGTCATGACGCGGCATGTTTGCGCCGCATCATAAAAATGGGTGTGCGCACAGTGGCCGGCTGATCGGCAAACCGCAAGGGTAAGTACAGTGCTGCTAGGATTAATGTCTCAGTGCTATCTTTCAGTCCTGCCTTTTCCAACCATTGGTAGAATTTCGGAATGTGAGCCACATCCACTATGTGCCAGTGGTACACGCCATGGAGATGTTTGTTTTGCCATGGAACCTTCTCCTAGCTTGGATATGACAGAATGTGAGCAATTACAAAATATTAAAGTCGTTGTCAGTTTACAGAAAAGATAACAGTATGCATTTGTTTAAGATAGCACAAACATGGAAATGGTACAATTGATATTATGCATCCATCCATCTTGAGTTCAGAGATAAATACTATAGTCATACTCCAGAACGGAGTATGTTATGTTGATATAGTTGCTTAGGGTTTTTTCGCTTATTCTTAGGGTGTCAACACTGACTGTGTTACTGATTTGGTCATAGTAGGCAATGTCCTAATAAAGAGATGTTTCCAGCGACAGTGGAAACATAAGGGGACAGCTCAAATGGCCTTATCAGCTTAACTTGTGTTGTTTTTCTTATGAATAATATCAGAATGATGTGTTCCAGTACAATGAATCGGCATGAAACAATCTAGTTGTGTCCATCATAGACTAGTCCCATGTAGACCAGGAAGATATGTGTGTGCACCCGGGGTGGGGTGGGGTGGGGTGGGGTGGGGTGGGGTGGGGGGGCGGGCGTGCATGGGTATGAGTCGGCTCCCTTAGTGTTGTGTGGTATGTCGTCTATTGGGGGTGGTGTTTTGCATGTTGAAGAAAAAAACACTCCTGTGTATTTATACAGTATGATGGCTTTCTAGGAATTGTGTCCATGATAGCCATATTGAGGAGTAGGTTGTGTATTTACTCATTAGAGAGTAAGTTAATTTCTCCATCAGTCGTATGGACTCAACTTTGTCCATCCATTCCCTCACAGATGGAGTCAAAGCACTCTACCACTTAATTGGGATGTAGCAGTTCATCTTTGGGCACCATCGTCGTGATGGACTTGTGTACAGTCTCTGGATTGTGGGTAGAATCCTCCATTAATAGTAAGTATTTTCAGGGTTTTGAGATCTATGGTAACCTGCTCTTCCTGGGTACCTGATAAAGTAGGGCATTTGCGTTGGTGGCTTATATCTTGTTCTTGCCATTGAGCTGGGACTTCAGGACCTGTCTGACTCTCTGGAGGTACTTGGATGTTGCTATCCTCCTTGCCTCTTTCTCGTGGTTGCCATGTGTTAGTTGTATCCACAGGTACTTGTAGCTGTTCTCTACATCTCCTATTTGGCCTTCTGGTACTTGAACTCCTTCTGTCCTGATCATCTGCCCACACTAATCTAATTCGAATGAGATTCCAATGTCCTTGCTGTATGTCCTAGCTAGGTGGATAAGTGAATCAATGTCCCGCTCATTCTTGGCATACAGTTTGACGTCGTCCATGTAGAGTAGGTGGCTAAAGAAAGCTCCACACTTGAACCTGTATTCGTATCCACTCTGCTTAATGAATTGGCTAAGAGGTTTGAGGCCTATGTAGAACAGCATTAGGGATAGCACATCACTTTAGTATAAGCCATATTTGATGTACACTTGTATTAATATCCTGAAATTGGCTTCTAAAATGGTTTCCCACTTGCCTGTCAAGTTCTTAATGAAGGCTCTTATTGTCTTGTTGACCTTGTATTGAGCCAAGCATTTCAGTATCCGTGTGTGTGGCATTATGTCATAGGCTTTCTTGTATTCAGTCCAGTCTGTGCACAGATTGGTCTGTCTGGTTTTTAGAATCCCGCATGACGGCTTTGTCTACCAGTAGTTTATGTTTTGATCCTCTGGTGACTCCAATCCCCTTCTGAGCATTGCTCAAGTACTGAAGCAGCTGTGCATACATCTTGGATGATTCCTTAGTCCAGCAGCTTACTTGTTGTCAGATTTCCCTGGTTCCCTAACATCAGATGTGGATCTTGCTTACACACACAGACACGCATACATACACACAAACACGACCCACGAGGAGTGAGAAAATCAATATATATTAAAAAAAAATACAGCTTTTCCTTAATCTGATAAATCCTGTAGATGCCTTGGTGCAATGCAGCATTACATGTATATATGTAGATACTCTATAACATATATAGCACTTAAAGGTCTTTATTCAATGTTTATTGCGTTGATCCCATCATATAAGCAGATCACAGTTTCCACTACTTTAGTCCTTTATCAACATCAAAAAAAGCATGATGAATATTGTGACAAAAGCACCTTCATCACTGGGATTTGGAGAGGCTTGCTTGCCAGCCTCTTGCCCTGTGACTATGGCCCCTGGGATGTATGGCCCTTTAAAAGCTCTATTTGGGCATATGGGATTTTAAAGTACTGTTACTGCCCCTTTAAATTATATTGGAGCAGTTCTACACCTTTGAAGTGGCATTTCGGATACAGCCAAAGTGCCAAAGTAGTTGAAGTGACCACCATTCGACATGCAAACACGACATACGAACATTTTAATTAAGTCGAACGCATTCAGCAGTGTTTGGTCGTCGAGTTCATAGAACTCACATTGGACACACGGCGGCACGAACACTGCTGAAACTTTACCTTCTCTGAACTTCAACTCTTCGACTGGAGTCGAACACTGTTCGACAATTCGAAAGGCACTTTAACATTGACATTTGCACGAACAGTTGCCATTCGTCTATTTGAACTGCAGTTAACATTGAAAATAGACCAGCCGCACAGCCAAATTCTCTGGAACTGTTTTGGGCATTAAATCAAGTGTGCGGTCGGTCAAAAGAGACTTCCACAAAACTTGAAAATGTGGGGGTTCAGTTCTATGGAATATAAGTTATGTATTTTAATGTGTTTTGTTGCAGTTGTAACTTAGAGATATTTTCTGTACCTGGAGATAATTGAGTTTACTACGGTTACTTAAGCCAATTATCTCCAGGATAGAAGAGAGGGATTTTACTGTGTATGTGGGAGTGTCAGACATTGTTGTATTGTTCTGATTGGTTTGTATGCTTTGTGTGCCTGTGAACCATCAGGTCCAGGGGGTGTGCCTCTGGCCTGAGGAATTGTATAAATTGTGCTGCCTTCCATTAAACAGACCTGCTTACCCCTTCATGAAGTCTTGACTCATGTTTGGGGGATTGGAGACCTACACTCTGGGGATAGCTATAATCACTATACTCCCCAGAGTATAATCACTAGCTCTTGTAAGAGCTGTTATTGTTCCTGGTTCCTGATCTCTGGATTTAGGAGAGAGATTCTCCCACTGGAAGCTAGAGCCCAGTTTTGGGTCCAGGGTGGGTGGAGGACAGCGATTAGTGGTTATGGTGTCAAGTGCGGTGCTGATCGTCTTTGGCAAGCACTAGGAGCATCGTTTGACTGAGGCACCCAGTCAGAGTGGCAGGCGTTCCGTCACAAATACATACACACATATATATATATATATTTCAGTGAACATTTGAACAATAACATTTCAAACTCCCAAGCTTTCACTGTCAAATTGGACAACCAAACCATGCAACGCCTTTAATAATTATTTTGTCGATGTTCCACCACCCTGATTGCTAAACTAATAAATTACGTGCATTCTTAAACTACAAATGTGGATCAGGCCCCACTAAATTTGCAAAGACCCAATATAGAGAAGTTAAATTTTAGACCCTTACCTATTAGTGTCACAAAGAAACTTCTTAATAATCTAAAAATGAAAAACCAAATCTGAACCTGAACAAATCCCAGCAATGCTGTTGAAGCTCAGTGTGCTGGCAATTGCTAAACCTTTCGCAACCCTAATCAACAAATCCTTGGTGTCTGTATACATACCCAAACTTTGGAAGACTGCGACAGTAGTACCTATCCATAAAAATGGTGACATTACTTTGGTATCAAACTATTTCCCTATATTATTGCTCTCTGTATTGTCATAAATCTTGGAAAAATGCATCCATACACAACTATGTATTACCAACAATCAAACTATCTGACCACTGACCAAAAAGGCTTCCACCCAAATCACTCAACTACAACTGCCCTCTTAAAAGTTTGCAATGACATCCAAACTGGCATGGAAAAAGGAGACCTAACTGGAGCTATTTTCCTTGATTTTGCCAAGGCCTTTGACACAATAGACCACGATATCCTACTGCAAAAATCCAGAATAAGTGATTGTCCGCTAACCTGGTTTCGATCATATGAATCGGATTGTTCGCAATGTGTCCATTTCTGACAGTGACTCCATCCATCTACCAGTCGCATGTGATGTTCCCCAAGGTTCCATACCCGTACCCCTACTATTCACGTTATTCATAAATTACCTGCCTAATGTCTGGAAAGACTCAAATGTACACATGTATGCAGACTACACAGTAATCTAAGCAAGCAAACCCAATCTACCACAGCTTGAGACTGTGCTCCAAGACCATTTCACAGAGGTAGAAAGCGATCACAATGATCTTTAGAACAGTACCTAAATTACTCAAATTACAAAATTCCCATCCATGCATCAAAACAGAATCAAATAACACACTGACAGCAGTCCATTCTTTCAAATACTTAGGTAGGTTGCTAGACCTCAATCTATATTTTGGCCTCTGCATAGAAAACTATCATCAAAACTTTATCCAAACCTTGGTGCCCTGTACAGAAACAAAGCATGCCTAAGCCCCACAGTAAATGAAAATTAGGTTTTACAGCAAATGACTATGAGGATGTCGTGTATGAAACTGCACCTCAAACCCACCTTAATAAACTTACTACATTGTAGAACTTGTTCTGCTGCTTTGTGCTACAATGTAATTACATATGTTAAAAGAGCTAAACTGGCTACCGCTGGGATCCAGATGCATCTCTCCAGCCTTGTGTTTAAGAGCTTTTCTAGGCAGCTCCCACTCTACCTTAACAGAATGGTTTCCCAGATGTTCCCACCTCCGATCCAGTACCAGCACTTTATTTAGTCTACCTCAATACAAAAAGAAAGTGGCTCATTCCTCATTTTCCTATAGAGCATCGCTAACGATGTAATATTCTGTGGACTCCGAAAACGAGTCCTTCGTGTTAAAATATTTTATAAATAATATATATATATATATTTTTTTTTTTAATAAAATACTGTGAAATGGCACTTACCAGTGACCCGTGTGTGACGTTCAGTTGAGACAAACCCAGAAGTGAGAATATGCATGATGCATGATGACGTCCAAACCAATACATGATTACTAGGCAACAGATAAACATGGCGACATCATTTACTGTATTAGAAGTCATCGTTCAGCCATTTCAACTGCCTTCTAAAAAGGAATGAAGTCAGTTGACAAACATTTTTCCACAGTTTCAGCTTAGACTCCCTTCAATTCATCACAACAGATAACATACCACCTCCATCCAGAGGTAGTGATGGATCCAAACAACTTTTGCAAAGTGAGACTTATTGGATACACAGAATCTATACCCGCTATAACTTATGTTACAGTATTTATTTTGCTATATTGCTTCTTTTGTTTAGTACTAGTCTATAATGACCGACACATACAATTGGGCTTTATAATATTTTTTTTTTACACTTTGCATCTGATATAATCAACACAAACAACATTGGCTAAAGACCTCTGAGTGCTACCTAATTTACAGAGTGTAATATAAATATATATTACCAGCAGCTTCTAAGCTCAGAAAATGTAATAGTTTTCTTAAAATTAATAAATAATGTGGCTTTAGTTACAGTGTATGATCATACATTGCATAAGCCTGCCACAACGCCAATGTACCCTATTTTTTTTCCTCCTTTACATCACACGTGCCCCATTCCAGGGCTGTGTTCAACCTTGCACTGCAGAGAGCCCTAGGAGGAAGAATTTCCCAAGTAAGTGGATTAATCTCATGAGAGCAGGGACATTGTTAAAAAAAGAAAAATAGGGTACATTGGCGTTGTGGCAAGCATATGCAATGTATATTCATTTGCTGTATCAAAATCCCCGTTTTGCCGGAGTTAAAAAAAAAAAAAAAAAAAAGTAATAGATTTTGTGAGTTTTGAAGCTAGCGTTTGAGTGAGTGAGCTGGATTCTGTATGTTGTATTAACTGTCACCAGCAGCACCCTTATAATATATCGTGTTACTATGAATGTAGTCTTCTTGGTTTTTATGTATACATACCGTATTTACTCTAATCTAATGTGCACCTTTATTGGCAACGTAAAGCCTCTAAAATGTAAACTCGCATTAGATTCAAGTACGAACTGTGCATTAGATACGAAGGGCATACAACGCAAATTCGCACTGGCAAAATTCGCATTTGCATCGCTGCAACAGGAATGCAAGACTAGGTTTCT